GATGGAGAAGGTGGGACCCAAGTATTGGGAACGGGAGACACAGACCGCCAAGGACAATGCACAGAGTGACCTAGTGAGCCTCAACAACCTGCCAGGCTACTACAACCAGAGCGCGGGCGGTGAGTGACGGGGTCCATGTCGGACATCGCGACCCCTCAAGTACCTCACAGATGGTCCCAAGAAGTCAGGGATTCCCGGGCTAAGCTTCACCCCAAATCTGAGGGACCCGCGGAGACTTGACCCAGAATGCGCCCTTGGGGACTGTAACCGGTTTCAATTTCAGTTTAGGACAAAAACCAGCGGGGTGGGCAGGACGGGACCCTGGCTGACAGCAGGGCGGGGACAGGCTCTCACACCTACCAGAGGATGTATGGCTGCGACATGGGGACAGATGGGCGCCTCCTCCGCGGGTACACTCAGTACGCCTATGATGGTGCGGATTACATCGCCCTGAATGAGGACCTGCGCTCCTGGACCGCAGCAGACAAGGCGGCTCAGATCACCCAGCGGAAGTGGGAAGCGGCTGGTGTTGCAGAGAGCTTAAAGGCCTACCTGGAAGGAGATTGCTTGAAGTGTCTTGCAGGCTACCTGGAGAAAGGGAAGGAGTCCCTGCAGCGCACAGGTATGAGCAGCTGCTGAACACCTGCCCCATCACCTGTAGATCTCTCTAGCAGTTCCCAGGAGGAGGGGAGGAGAATGGCGCCCACTGTAGCACACCACCCTGCTCATAGTCCAGAGGGGAGGGTGTGGGCCTGGATTCCCCAGTTCTGTACTAGAGAGGAACTGAAGGCTGCTTTCTCTGAGGACAAGTAAGGAATCTGCTCTCTCTCTCCCTGGCTGGTAGGAAAGACAATAAATACCTGACCCCAGGTCCCTGTCACCAGTCTTGGCATCCAGGACAGTCAGTTCTACTTCAGCCTAGTGCCTGGGAGGTCTGACTCCAGCTTTTCCACGTGTCCCAACCTCTATCAAGATCAGATTCTGAAGTCCCTCTCAAGGATCTGAAGCCTCTTCCACTGGGTTGTTTCAATCTGATTTTAGAACTTTCCAAGGAATAGATTGTGTCAGAGGTCTGTATCCTGGCTTGTGTCTAGGTTTTGTGCTCTCTCCCCCACCTGAATTATGTTGTTCATTACTCAGGATGGTATTGTGATGGCCATGTGAGCACCGCTTCAGTGGCCCAAGAGGAAATGCCAAAATGTCTGAATTTCCCTGTTCTTTCTCTCAGATCCCCCGGAGACTCATGTGACTCACCACCCTATCCCTGAAGGGGATGTCACTCTGAGATGCTGGGCCCTGGGCTTCTACCCTAAGGAGATCACCCTGACTTGGCATCGGGATGGAGAGGACCAGACCCAGGACATGGAACTTGTGGAGACCAGGCCTGCAGGGGATGGAA